TTGAATATACCATGGACTGCTAGGAGAACAAACAGGTTTGTCCTGGAGAGAGTGAAGCCATAGTGTTCCCTGGAGTCAAGGATTCTGAAGCTTCGTCTGACATATTTTGGGCATGTTGCAAGGAGGGACTGGTGGAGGGGAGACGAAGGAGAGGAAGACCTTTGATGAGATGGATCGATTCTGTGACTGGAATGGTAGGAATAAGTGCGTTTGAGATGGCTAGGTTGGCACAGGATAGAAAAGCATTTAAAGCTCTTGTACATAGGGTCGCTATGAGTCGCAAGCGACTAGATGGCACATAACAACAACAACAACATACTTCTTTTATATTCTTAAATATACACCATGGACATTTTCTAAGTGTGTGTGTTTGTGTATGTCTATATGTGTGTGTATTTCTCACATTCTTTTTATATGACGTATCACATCATATATCTATTCCATAATTCACTCAGCTTTATTCCTTCCCAACTCCCAACTGTGGACATTTAAGAAAGATCTTTGTACTTGTACACTATGTTCTTTAATTTCAATAACATGTATTCCTTTCTAGAAGTGGGGTTTCTTCTGAAAATGTTTTAAACATCTGAAGTATTTTCAAATGTTTAGAATTTTACCTTTACAAAAATTTCATTTTAAACCTTCGGAATTTCTATTTCCTTTATTATGCAAAAGTGAGGCATAAAGCTTTCACAATGTTTTGCATATTTTATTCTTAAAAGCATACATTATGTCGAAAAAAAATCCCTTGTCATTTATACTCCTGTGATTATAAATAAATAAATGCTTAAGTTATGGTTGGGGCGGTCAGCGTTAAATCACTGTACAAATGTTCATGCCTTCGTTTATGAAAGTAGTAATTCATTGTGAAAACTCCACCCCACAGCTATGTGGCAGCACTACAGCAGCTTACATCCTGTGACTCCCTCCTACTGTGTGTGGCTATATAGAGATCAGGACCTACATATTTTCCAATTGTCAACAGTTAACCTTAAAAAGAAAAGGAGAGAAGTAAATAGCAACAAGCGATATAGACTGTTATTTTTAGTTTCAACAATCCACAAATTATTTGTAACACAATGAATAATTCTGTTAATCTACATTAGAGACTGTTTCTATATAAAATTAAATCTGTAATCAGTAAATTGCCATTTTTAAAGAAACCTTTCAAATAAATCTTCACATATTTTTCAAGATAATTATTGGTTGAATCTCATTTTACATTTTTCACCCTCTACTTAGGATTCAGAATCTAATGGCAAAATGTGTTTAAAGCCTTAAATACATTGACCAATGAAGCTCTTTAAAATTTAACCTCAGACTCCCCCTATATCCTAAAGACCTGAGAAACAACAGATTGTTAAGATACAGCAAGTCTGATACAGAAGTATGTGACATGCAATTAATCTCCATTCATACCCTGCTCTGCCTGTCAGCAAACAAAGGTTCTGCTTTAGAAGGAGATCTGAAGACTTCAATTAAAAACAGTCAGCTAACAAGAAAATAATCTAAGTTAAAGGAAGGTGGCAGGTGCAGAAATGAGTTGTTTACCAAAGTGTCAGTTTTGAACAATAAAGGACTGCACATCAAAAATGTTGAAGGGGTGAGTTTCATTGCAAGCTTCTGAAAATAAAAATAAATTTTCTACCAAGGCTACACACAAAACTGAAGTACAGTTTAACAAGCATGTAAAATAGGTTTCCTTTCATCAAATGACAGGTATCAAGAAGAATCACTTTATACCTTTAAATGCAAGGGCAGATTTAAACTCCTAGCCATAGTTCTTTCTATCGTTTCTGGAAACCTAAGACACAAGCAGCCTCCTATTATATGGTGAATATTGACCCAACATCCAACCTCAACAGCAGAGGGGAAAATTGGTTTACATTTTAGAAACCCAGATGACTCTCTCTTATATTGAAAATAGTTTTCTATTCCTAAAGTTTAAACTTACTTGGGTCATAATTAAAATGGATTTTGGAAACGTCACCTCAAAAGACGTGTCTAGATAACAGCATTTATGTAGACACAATCCAGACAGAAATCGCACCAGAGACCAAAAGCACTTGCCAAATATTTTATTACGAACCATTTACATAAAAATAGCAAGGTAATGGAGATGTTAAATTAATAGAGACTGAAAAAGCAAAACAAAACAAAAACCACAATAATAAACACTGCTTGCCAAAAGCATGTCTTGCCCAAAGCAGGCCACCTGTTAAATATGTGTCAACTATGTCACTTACTGGAAGCAGGAGTGGCATCCACTTCCATAACAGCCTGCCTCTGGAAACCCTATGAACCTGGAGAAAGGATGAAAGGCACCCAAGCGTGGAGGACTCTCCTTCACAGGGTCGCTATGAGTCACCTGCGACTCGATGGCACTTAACAACAACGACAACATGTCACTAAGATGCAAGAACTCTTAATTGTAAATTATTTCCTCCAGAGATCCTGAGGTAACTGCACACTCAGGCAAACACGTCGCAACTACCTTCACCTGAAAAAGGTCAAAATGAGCAGGTGATAGTGTTTTAGTAAACACTCTCTACAGTGGAGGAAGGATGTGTTATGTGGATATGAGTGAATGTGGCCTCAACGTTATTGAAGGGATTGTTTAGACCCTATAGACTGAAAGCGATGAACACCCCACAATGGCCTTGTTGGTAAAAAGCATTAGCTAGGCCAGGGTTCAGTCATGGCTCCCAACAGTCTACAGACTGGTATATAGCGTGCAACCCAGGGGTTCCGCTCTGACACAAACTCCCATTCACTGCCACACCCTGAGCAACTGCGGACTTTCTGACCGCTCCCAGGGGATGCCCAGGGGATCCGACACCACACAACGTCTCGAGAGCCTGGAAACAGGACTGCGAGGATCTTCTCCCAGAGGTGATGGGGATGAGAAGGGGGAAGCCCTACTGCAGGGAGGGAGGGGAGGCTGAGGGAAATGACACGTCAAGGACCTAGAACTCAGCCTGCAGGAGTTTAGAAGTCTGAGAGATTTCTTGCAAGAGAGGATACCTTGAGGAAAAAGAAAATGTAGGGCTGGACGAAGTGAGGGAGATCCTGAGGTGGGTGGATGAAACCATGGTTTTGGAGGACGGAAGAGTCTAGAAGCCTCGAGTGTTGCAGAAAGAGGTGGGTGGTGGAGCCGAGGAGAAAGCCACGTCTGAGGAGGCCCTGCCATCTGCTTCGCTCCCGCAACACTTGAGCGACTTCCCAGGGGGTTGTGGGAGGAGGCCGGGGCTGGGAAAGGGCGTTACCTTCCAGGAGCCAACGAATCTCCTCAGGGAGTGTGGCGGCCTGCATTTGGCGGAGATGCTAGGGTGGCCGGAGTGTGTGGCAGGAGAGGGACGGGAAGGCCTGCTCCCTGGGCGCCAGGCAGTGAGACGAGTGAGCAGCAACACGGAGACACCTGCACGTCGGCCGTCGTCGCCCGCGCGGCAGCCCCTCCAAGTCATTGTTAACCCACACAATGTAACAAGGCACTACCCAGTCCTACACCATCTCTGCAATCAATGCAGATCTGACCATTGTGATTGTGACCCATGGGGTCCTCCCTGGGTGGCTTTCAGAAGTAGATTGCCAGGCCTTTCTTCTTTGTCTTAGTCTGGAATCCATGCTGTAATCTGGTCAGCATCAAAACTGTAGGCAATCCTTCACAGACAGATGGGGTATGATTGTGAATACAATCTTCTGCATGCAAGGCAAGGATATTCCCACTTAACCACATACCTATAGAGTTAAAAACTGAGGTTAATACAATGGAGAAAAATGACAGGGAGACCTGAACTCCTAGTCTGGAAGGTGGTCTTTAAGCTAAAAGGTAACTCCTAAAATCATTAAGGTAGGTAAGATGGGTGATGTGAGGCCTTTTTCCTAGTAAGCTGAAAAAGCCCACCTGTCCTCATTTCCTAGAGAAAAGGAAGCAGGCGGGTGAGAAGAAAGAGGGTCCTGAAGGTGAGTGTGTCTCTGGATCCTGCAGCTCTTCGTCTTAGTTTCTGAGTCATCTCATTCCTTCTCCCATGTACTTGCTGGTTGTTGTTTGTATGGGCAACATGAACTTGCCACGTCATGTTGTCCCCAAGTGAGCTCTGATTCATTGTGACCTTACATATAACAAAGCACACAGTGCTCAATTCTGCACCACCTTCATGGAACAGAACATGCTGGTATGTTGGAACACACCACTGTAGCCATATTCATGAGTTTTCTGAAGTAGATTGCCAGACATTTCTTCCTAGTCTTAGGCTGGATTCTCAGCTGAAACCTGTTCACCACAAGTGACAACTGCTGGTATTTGAAATACCAGTGGCACAGCTTCAGCATCACAGCAACACGCAATCCACCAAAGGACCAGAAACTGACAGGACAGTCTTGATAGTGAACAAATGCAAGGAAATTGAAGAATGTGTCTCCCAGTAGGCGGTGGCAGTGAGCTCTGGTGGCCTAGTGGCAAGAAGCTGCACTGCAATCCCGAAGGTATTCAAGGTCACCAGCTGCTCCACAGGAGAAGGATGAGCAGTCTCCTCCCGTGAGATTAACGGCCTCTGAAAACCTGCTGGAGGGTCAGCTGTGGGTCGGATCTGACTCGACAGTACTCAACAATAGGTAGTGGCATGATCACTCAGACTTGTCCTGATAGTGAACAAACCCAAAGTAATGAAAGAATTTGACTCCCAGGAGATAGTGGCATGGCCTGAGTTGTCACGGAGACTTGGGTTGGGTTCTTGGGCCTCGCCCTTTCCACGTGTGTTCCTGGCCAATGATCTTGCCTGCATGAGTTTCAGTGGCCTCATCCGGAAGGTGGAGATTACACTCCCCCTTTCCCAGGTGCCTGGGAGGGAAGGGTGTCTGTTCCATAATAAGCTGTGACGGGATTGGCAGAAGCATGCAATTTGCTTGGGGGGTAGGAGGGAGAAGAGTGAGGGTCCCACATGCTCAGCACCAGAAGTGCAAACACGGAAGCTGAGTGGGCTCAAAGAGACAAAACTAGGGAGCTTGAAATTTCTCACCATGGAAAACAATATTGATGTATTCCATTAAAAGCAGCTAACTTTCTGGTGGAGAGAACTTTAATTGAATCCCCGGACCCTCTCAATATCAACAGAATTCTAGTATTCCTCTCCTCACCGCCACCCCTACCTCTCGTGGCCCTCCAACTGTGAAAGAAAACTCGAGGTTGTATGAAACATATTTGCTCCTGGGCACTTGGCCAGTAAACTCCAAACTGTGAAGCACCTGACTTCAGGCAAGGAGCGGAGGAAGGGAAGCTAGTAGACATGGCTTCCCACGGTCTGGCTCCTTCTCATAAAGTCATGACAGCGGAGTCAGTTCAAACCCATAGTGACCCTTCAGGACAGAGTAAAACTACCGCACAGGGTCTCTGAGGCTGAAATCTTATGGGGCCGACTGCCATGTCTGCCTCCCACGGAGTAGCCAACCTAACAGTCACACACTTTGCCTCTGCACTGACAGGCCCCTCTCATTCTCAGTAGTGACACCCCTTTCTTGTCCTGCCTGAGTAGAGTGTAGAACTGTGGAGTTAGCTGTCCTGCCCAGTGTGTGCTGGGAGAGGCTGGCTTAGGTGTCAGCAGCTCTGGGCCTCTCAGCACTGCCTTCTGCCTCGAGCAGCCACACAGGCCCGCTGCAGGGAGCAGCAGGGCTCCAGGCCGCATCCCCAGGGCCTCCTGCATCAAGTCACTTCTGACTCATGGTGACCTTAGCCGAGATCCCTAAAGGAGACAAATAGAGTGACTGGCCCAGCATACTCAGCTGCTCCCCAGCTCACCAGTGGGAACTACAATGTGTCCTTTCTTAGAGGAGAAAAGGGGAGGAGGCAGAGAAAAAGGAACACTTGGAGGGAGGAGGGTGAAGCCCAGCCACCAACACCATTCAACCTGTTTTGTGCCCCTTGCGCACAGCCTTCCATTCAGCCCTGCAAAAATGCCACTTTCCCTCCCACCTGAGACCTATGCACATGCCTTAGTGTGGTCAGGGGCAAAGGGGGTTTATGTGTGCACGCTTCTTTTCTCCTTTTATCTGCAGGCCTCTTATTTATCTTTCAGACACCAGCTTCAACATCACTTCCCCAGGAAAGCCTCCCTGGTCTCCCAGACAAGGTCAGGAGCCCTATTAAACGCTCTCCTAGCATCTGTATTTCCTCCTTGTAGCATCTGTCATTATTTTAAGCACAAATAGTTGTTTGTGTGATGATCTGTCTAATGTCTGCTCTCACAGGAAGACTCTAAGTGCACTGAGGGCAGAGGCCGTGTCTGTGAAGGAGACCACTGTGCCTCCAGCGTCAGTCCCAGCCCAGGCTTGTGGTGGGTGCTCCAAATACTAATGGGAGGAAATAATGACCACCTCACCAGCTGTCACAGAGTTGATTCCAGCTCCTAGAAGTCCCGTGTGTGTCAGAAAAGAACCATTCTCCATAGATTTTTCTATGGCTGGTTTTCCAGAAGTGGATTGCCAGTCCTTTCTTCTGAGACACCTCTAAGCGGATTTGAACCACCAATCTTTAGGTTAAAAGCCAAACACATTAACTGTGTGCAATACCAAGAGACTCCAGTAATGATCATGGGTAACAATCATACAAAGCCATTTCAAATACTAGGCACAATATTAACCCCATTGACTATTACAGACAACACTTATGTTGTTGTCTGTGCCATTGAGTTGCTTGCGGCTCACAGCAACCCTATGTACAACAGCCCTGAATCCTGCTCTATTTTGAGCCACCTTCATTGTCTCTAACACACCTACCCCCATTACTTTAGTCACTGAGTCAATCCACCTGTGCTGTCCCTCCACTCTCCCAAGCGTGACATCCTTCTCCAAGGACTGGTCCCTTCTTGTAACATGTCCTAAGTATATCAGACAAATCTACAGAATCCTTGCCTCCAAGGAGCAGGCTCATCTCACCCTCTCCAGGATGAACTTGTCTGTTCTCTTAGCAGTCCATGGTATAGCCAATACTCTTCTCCAGCACCACCATAAGACCTCTATTTCTTCAAGTGGAGAAACCAAGGCACAGAACCAAGTCAGAACGATGCTGCACAGCTAACAAGTGGAGCTGGGATTTGAACACAGTAGCCGGCCAGCCTCCAGGGGTGATCCCCTTCACCCTTCAGGATAGTGGAGTTGAGAAAAGGGTGCAACTGAGCATGGAGGGGTGGATGCAGAAGCTTTTCTGTGACCAAGGAAAGTGAGGACCCTATACAAGGACAGAAACACCCCAGAGACCACATTGACCTCAGGACTCAGGTCAGTGGCCACCTGTGATTTGGGGAATGGAATACAGGAGGATCCGGCTGTGAGAGTGAGAACTACAGTGCCTGAATCTTGAGGCACCATCAACTCCCAGGATTAGAAGCATGGATGTGACTACCCAGTTACCATGGTGATTGCCTATCTTGGTCTTTTGGGGTAATCAGGCTATGGTGCTCTCTACCTCCCTGGCTCTCTCTGCACACCTGGGGGATTACACCCACCTCATATGGTTGTTATGAGATAATACCACACAAAACACTTAGCACCCTGCCTGACCTACTAAAGGTTTGATTGATGGGTTTAAAACTTCTCAGAATGGCCCACGTGGGCCGCACAGCCCTGACTACTATCCAATGATGCCATAGGGTGCATTTCCCTGGAGGGGACCTCCTCAGCTCCCCAGGGATCTAATTGTTAATTAACTCAGCCAATGGCATCCCACACAGAGCGAACTCTACCACCTCCATATGCCCACAGCTGCGTGGTCAGCGTCTGGCAGACTCATTGTTTTAAGTGATGAGCAATTGTCATTTTGCGTCGCCTCTATGATAAATCACTTTAAGAACTCTCTTCTTTCGACAGCATAAGTAATTACCGCCCTGGTGTCTAGGGCCCTGGCACCGATTAGGAGGGAAGCAAACGACACTGAAGCTGGTGCTGACTCATTTTTCTTTTTCAGAAGGGCCTGGAGGTGGCAGGGTCAGAGCTGCAGGCTAGGCCCTTCCTGGACTGAAAACTGTCCCTGCGGACACCCCACCCCTACCCCCCATCCCCGGCACCAGCACACCCTTCTCTCCCCACCCCTCAAAATCTCCCACCCTCTTCTCCCCAGCTGTCATCAAGACACAGTTCCCAAATGGACCAGTGATTAGGAGGAAATGTATTGTACTATACTAGGGAGAAATAATTAGGTTAGATAATAAGAAAAGGAAGTGTACCTTGTAAGAGGTTCGGCGTGCAGAAATGCATGCTTGGGAATATCCGATCTATTATGTTTTGCAGGTAGATATAGAATGTATTGAATCGTTAGAATT